AAAAGAACCCCCCCTTCAAAAGCACCCCCTTGCTTCCTGCCCCCCTTCTGCTTCTTCGATGGCTCCCCCTTCTTCGAAAAGGCAACCCCCCCTGCAACGCAGCCTCCCCCTAGTCTGGTGGAGTCTTTGGCACCCAGCTCCGTCCCTTCCCCTCTCGTATGCTCGCAAGAAGCCACCCCCTTCTTCCCTTCTTCGTAGAACCCCCGGTACTTCAAAGCAGCCCCCCCTCTAGTTCAAAGAAGAAGCCCCTCCCCTTTCAACCCCCCCGTTCTTTGAACATGCCCCCCTCCCCCCTACTTCAAAGCCCCTTTTCAACCCCCCCTTCTTCTGCTTCGGGGGGGGAAGGCCACGGCCCCGCGTCACTAAATGACCCCGCCCCTTCAAAGAACCCCCCCCTATCGGGCCGGTCTCCCTGATTCAGGAAACTAGGAAGTTTCACAATATATATCTATATGATATAGATATATATTGTGACACTTCCTAGTTTCGTCTGTATCTCTATATATATCTAAATCTATATCTATATCTATATTCTATATCTATAAATCTATATATCTATATCTATATCTGATATATATATATATATTGTGACACTTCCTAGTTTCGTCTATATTTATATCTATATATCTATATATCTATATATCTATATATCTATATATCTATATATCTATATATCTATCTATCTATCTATCCATCTATCCATCTATCTATCTATCTATCTATCTATCTATCTATCTATATATCTATATATCTATATATCTATATATCTACATATCTATATATCTATATATCTATATATCTATATATCTATATATCTCTATATCTCTATATCTATATATCTATATATCTATATATCTATATCTATCTCTATTTCTATCTCTATCTCTATCTCTTTCTCTATCTCTATCTCTATATCTATCTATCTGTCTATCTGTCTATCTGTCTATCTATCTATCTACCTATCTATCTATCTATCTAACTACCTATCTATCTATCTATCTATTTATCTACCTATCTCTATATAAATATAAATATATAAATATATATATTATATGTGTACATATATGTTTACATATATGTGTACATAAATAAATATATATATATATATATACATACACGTATGATACGTTGCCATGGTGAATTGCTGTTTCGCAATGGCTAGAATAAACATATCCCTGCCGCAATGGCACAACATCACGTTGGCTAGTTTGCATCCCATATGGGTGGAAGGCTTGGCGATGGTTCAAAGGTTAGAAACAACACATCCCAACGGTTTGTTTTTCTCTTCATTTTCGGGGATGGCGAAGGTTTGACCCCATAATCTGAAGTGGTGTAGCCCATAATTTCATGCTTAATCGTCATATCTCCCATTTAAGTGACTTTCGGGTATCCCCCATTTTCAGGCACACCCAGAAACCGAGTGTTGGCTATATTCCATGATTTTCCATTCATGTGGTTGACCAGGTTAACAAACCCTAGCTGATTAATTAGGAGATATCCCCCCAATTAGTGATAAAATGGTACCGTTCAATTCAACAGCCTAGAGGTTTATTAATCCACTCATCCGCAGGACGCAGTGCATGAGGTCCGAGGATGTGGCAAACCAAATTTTTGGGTACCAAGGGACCAAAATTGGCGCGTTGGTCGTTTCAAATATGATGATTTAACCCTCCAAGAATATGGATACAATGGGTATATAACCAATATCAACTGCTGGTGTGTTGTTTCAAACATTTTTTGTTTTGGAAACTATGTGTTTTCCAGGGCTACCAGCCAGTAATTTTTTGCGTGTTTAACGATCCGTTTTGGGCGTTGATAATTTTAAACCATAGCCATGGAGTGATATTGGCTGTAACATTTTGCCTGGGTCATTCCGAGGTTGCTGGTTTTTTTTATTTTTTTTTTCCTTCTCAGGGATTTGTAGTGCCTCCCGTTTGGATCATTATTATGAGGGATAGAACTGATATAGCTATCGTTAATGGTTTTTACTAAAACAACTTATAACCAGCCGGTCTCACCTCGTGAAACCCTGCAAATCCGCTACTGGTTGGTCTATCTGAAAGCAGGGCATGATGGTTTATCATCATTTTTCCCATTATTTGATGGAATTTTATGGGTATCTTACATCTTCAGACAAACTCATCTCCAACTTATTAAAACTTAGTTTTGTCTCCCACTGTATCCCATATTGCATCTCATATTATATCCTATAATTAATGTTGGTAAAACAATGTCATAAACCATCCCCCATTCATCACCATTTTTATAGGTGGTATAAACCATTCCCAATCATGGGTGGTTTATGATTTTCTTTTACCCACATTCATCACCATTACTCACCATCAATCACCAGTAATCCCCACAAAATTAATCCCATCAATCACCATTAATCACTATTAACCATATTATATCCCATTAATCACCATTAATCACTATTAACCATATTATATCCCATTAATCACCATTAATCACTATATATTATATCCCAATTTGCCATATTCATATCGATGACAATCTGCTCGGCTAGATCTCCATCGGCAGCGCTGCACCGTCCTTGAGGGATGCCGCTGAGGTAGGGAACGTTTTTTTTCAGTGATGTTTGTTGGTGGTTTATAAAGTCATGAACACAATAGTTATATAAAGATTTTATCCCCATTCACCATTAATCACCATAAAAACGTTTCTAAAAACTTATATAAAATTATAAACTTATAAAGTGATGTTGTATTCACCCCATAAACTTAATATAAACTTATAGTTCTGTTCACCAACTTTGCCATCAACGGGGGCCTCACCACAGGAGTTGGGCGTCATCAATCCATCAATAATGTTCATCCACCATATACCCTTTTTCAGCCATGGCACGTTTGGGGATATCATGGGATACGTTTGTGGGATACGTTAATATAAGCAACAAGATGCCGTTTTTAAGCGTTTGTCTGAACATGGGGGATACATGGAAAACTCATCTTACTTAAAGGGGATATAATATGGGATATGATTGATACACAACTAATCACCAATCAATGACATGTGGGGCGGTCTGAAAATGGGAGATAGCCAACCATCATTTTTTCGGAGGTAGCCTATTTTCAGATAAACCCATGTAGCATCAATACTCACCCCCTTGCCATTTTTTGCAAAGCCTGATTGGTACCGAGCCACCGATTGGCTGGTGCACCCAGGATATGATCAGAGAGAACTGCACATAGATTTCTGGTCTGAGAAACTGGAAAAGAGTTCCTTGAAAAAACAAGGAACTAAGAACTTACTTCTATTATTAATGTCTTTTCCAAACATGAGTTTTTTGGTATTTTAGTTGGCATAACTTTTCAACGCTAGTTGGTGATGTTTGGCAGGTGGACAAGCTAAAGCTGACGCTGGCATCATTGCAAGAACAAGGGGCTCACGAAAAGACGAAGATGGAGGACACCGATCCGTGGAGGCCGTGCTGTTCGCTTTGACGAAGCGCCTTCGACGAAGCATAGGCAGTCGCGCGCCTTCGGCAGGAGCAAATCCGTCGCGATGAAGAGCGCTTGGAAGAGCATCGTCAATGGATCCTGTAGTGCTCTCAGAAGGGTTTGAACATGTTGGAAACTGATCAAACTTGATTCTAATGCTTCAGACATGGCCGTGGTGGATGATGGTGGATGGTATACATGTGGTGGCTGATTTGAAAAGCTTCTGAAGGTCACCGGGTTTCGTGGCAGAATTTTTATTTGTTTGGCACTTCATGGAGCCATTGATAGAATCACGTGGGGAACCAAGGCTAGGACCAGTTATTGCCCACTGCAAGAAAACATAGAACCTCTGTTTTTTTAGGGTTCTAAGGGAGTCTTCATGGTTGTCACACATTGCATACACACTATACTGGTCCTGGGTTTCAAGCTGTCAAACCATCTGAACATATCTTGCCTCACTTTTTGAGCCTAATTGAGCAGTAGCTGCTAAACCCATGTTGGCTCATGATCATAGGGGATTATATATATATATATGTATATACTATATAAGCATATATACATATATATATATATATGTATATGTATATGTATATGTATAAGTATATGTATATGTATATGTATAGGTATATGTATATGTATAGGTATAAGTATATGTATATGTATATGTATATGTATATGTATAGGTATAAGTATAAGTATATGTATATGTATATGTATAGGTATAGGTATAGGTATAGGTTTCTTAAAATGGAAGATCCCCAAGACCACGGCTCAAGGCGTGAGTTGGACTGCTACGCCAAGGTCCGGCAGGGAAAAAACCACGTAGACTCCCATAGAATGTTGGCAAAATCATGTTTTTTTCTCAATGATCACTTGATGGAATTGGTAAATCCCCCATTGACACACTGTTACTGTAGCACCTGAATGGACGGCGGAGATGGGCCATATAAATGGTTTCGCACGAAGTTCAGCTTCAGAGATGTTTTGTTTCATCTCTGCTCGTTTAAAACGTTTGTTTTTTTAGGGGCTACATTTCTGAACTTGTTTTTGTTCAGGAAACTTCCCACAGTTTGTCAAAGGCGCATGTTCATTCCATCAGAGTTCATTCCATTCCGGTAGAGTTCCCCAAATCCATTGAAACCTGAGCATGGTTTCTCAATGTTTCTCAATTATCCCATACAATCCAGGCGTCGGACGCGCTGCGAGAAGATGTGGAATCTGCTCTGCTGGAGCCGTGGGAAGATGTGGGAATGGGCCTGTTGAATGGGCTGTCGGACCAACGATTGGGAGTTGAAAAATGTTGAAAACTAAGATTTGTTCATCAAAATTGTGGTTCCTTTCCAGAAAGGGATTTAACAGTTCAGGCCGAAAAACTTGGATGTGGCCAAGAAAATGCTCGATTTCAACCAGAAACACGGAAGAACCTCCCTTGTTGGTCGCAAGGCAGATGGCAGGTGGAGACCAATGCAGCTTAACAGCTCAAGGGCGGACAGGTCTTTTGCGCTGCAAGTTTCTGAACATCTAAACTGGTCAAACTGGATGGTTTTTCTGGGTTGTAAACATGACTTGGATGATCCAACTGAAGCAAGTGGCAACTTTTTGGTTCAAATCCACAATTTCACCCCTCTTTGCGTCCTTGGAACTCAGATATCCCTGGAGATAGTGCACCAATCACCATCGTCCAGCTCCCATCCGTGGCGCCACGTGATGGCGGGCCGTGCCGCGGGACGCATGCTCCGTGCACCGCAGAAGGGCTCGGCTCATCTGAAGGTGACGCAGGGGAGCTTTCTTGGGCGAGAATCAAGATGTCAACTCGGATGATTGAACTACTAATGTCAATGGGAAATCCACCATGCCATCAACTAGAGGGATATTGAACTGCTATTGGGTTGATCATTTCTGATGATTATCAGGGTTCTTATTGTGATGATTGGGATGGTAGACCATCCCCACCATCTGCAAGCATTATATAATAGATAGTTCCAACTTGGGGTACACACACTAAGACGTCACAAATTGGGGATGGTGATCACGGATCAGTGGGAACTGCAACTAGCAGCTGGTCCCTCCGAGATTTCATCCGACTCATGAGGCCTCCAGAATCCCAGTCAACTCCTATGTAACCTGGTGGCTAGTTATAACTCCATTTGATCATGTGCAAAATGCCACCCTGGATCAACTTAAATTCTGGTCGATGAAAAATGTCATGGTTTGGTTTATATCCGCGTGTTTGAAATGTTTGAAACCTCATTTTGTGCCAGAACTCCATCGTTCCCCAACTGACAGGTCTCCCGAGTGGGGCGGCGAAGCGAAATCGTGCGCCTGTCGCATAGCTCCCCGGTGCGGCTGCTTCCCATGGCCACGGCGGCGGCTGAGCTGCTGGGTCTGTTGGGGGGGTGAACTGTTGGGTGTGTGGTGATTATACAATGTGGGCCCCCCGAGATAGCTAAGTTGGCTTATAACTCCAATAACTATGATTTATGGTACTTATAACTATAGTTAATGGGGTTTATAAGCCAACTTATAACTGGGGGGCCCCACATTGTACATGTAAGCAGCAAATGCAATTGGGGGACACCAACTTGTATGATTATGATATTTTATGATATTTTATGAACCCTTTGTAAATGGGATGAAGCCTTTGACTCTCCACCGGATTTTGATGTTTCCCCAATTGATTGGATAACTAGTTTGATTTTGGCAGGTTTTCCCCCAAATTTTGGCAGGTTTTACCTGAATTTTCAGCCAATCTACATGCCAATGGTTGGGTACCCCTCATCGAAAAAACCAAACCATCCAAAGGGATGTACCTTGAGATGCAGCTTTGTTTGCTTGGATGATCAACTTACTCAACGGTCAACAACAAGCCCTTAAATTTGGGATATTGGGGTTTATAATAATGATAATAATATCAATAGCAACAACAATACTAGAAATAATCTATAACATTAATAGTAATATTTCATAGTAATAATAGTAGTACTGTAATTGATGATGATAATAATAGTCGTTCGTGATAACGATACTAATAATCACAACAATAGAAATGATATCATGGTGATAACAATTTATAGTGACAATCACAGCAACAATAACAGCAACAATAATGAGAACACTACTACTAATAGTAGTAATAGTAATAATAGACATAGTAGTGTTATCATCATCATCATCATCATCATCATCATCATCAACATCAACATCATCATCATCATCATTGTTTTTTTTTTAAAAAAAAATCATAGTGTTATATTATTATATTATACGATGCTTAAGGGGGGGATGGAAGGGGGGGGATGAATATGTATCCCTAGTGCTGCTAGATCCATCCCCATTCCTTCTATAGAGCTCCCTAGCAGTGCTAACAGTAAGGGCCCTTAAGGAATACCAAAGGGTCTGGAGAGGTCCCTAGCACTCCTGGTTTATACATGTTTTTGGCAGTAACCAAGAGTAAACAATTAAGGGAATATGATTTGGAACCGGCATAAAACTTCATTGGGGTCCCGTGATTTTTTATGTGTCACCGAGCTTGATCCGCTGGGGGCCATGATTCTTCATCCAGCCCACCCCATTCCAAGCACGGATAGGGGATAGTAGTGCAGACTTACCCGAAAAAACCGCAATAAATTTGCACAAACTACGAAAAACACTGGTTTTTGTACGTTTTCTGGGTGGCTAGGGAGCTCCCTAGCACTCTTGGAGAGGCTTAGGGAGGCTTAGGGAAGCTTAGGGAGCTCCCTAGCACTCCCAAGCAATCCCTTTACTGGGGGCCTCTAGAGAAGGATTCGGTCTCTGGGAACCCCTCATCTCTTGTCAAGTACAAGATGTGCTTACCATTTTCGAAGTTGAGCTAGGATGTTCAGACTCCGTTTCACACCCTGTCTTTCCAATATGGAAACCAGCACAATTTTTGGGAAATTACCAAAAGAAAAGTGTTTGCTCACCTTGAAACGTCAGCTTAAGATGTGGGATTCGTTGAGCATCTAAGAGTTGGTAACTGTTGGTAAGTTAAAGGAGAAGGTTCTCATTCCAGCCTAAGCTCCCCAAAGCTCCCTAAGCCACCCCCCCCCTTGGACCCCCCCCTTAAGAATCCTATAAATTATAGTTTTATGAAAACACTAATGATAATAACCACTACTAACAGTGTTTTTCCCAACCACGGTTTTCACCAGCACTTCGATTGGGGGTTTCCCATAAGGCGCAGTGGTACCGCCTGGTGCGCCTTGGGCAGCTTCGGTGGCGGCTTCCTGGGGGGCGACGAAGTGGACGTGGACGTCCACATGGAGAAAGACACCGTGCTGACGATGACCACGCAGGTGACGGGGGGGATGGGAGATGGGGTTGGGGGTTGGAGATGATCTTTTTAGAACAAAAATAAACTTTAAAGTAGTGTTCCATGATTCCGTAGGATTGCTTTTTTTGGTAGCATTAGTATCATGATGATCATTCTGATCATCATAGGTATCATCACTATCATGATCAATCATGATCGCTATGATTATTATTATGGCTCTTCTTCTTACAGTAGTTCTTATTGTTACCGTATCATCTGAGTCCTCGGAGAAATTCGATTAGTCCTCGGATCGGGATGGCCTGGCAGCAATCGATGGCACGGAAATGGGCATGAAATCTGGCTCCCGGTCCCTGAGATCTCCCGAACTGTCCAGCCATCATTGCTACAAATCTTTAATGGGCTCCACAACAAGAAACTCCAAGGCAAACATCCTTCTACCTATGATTGATCATGATAGTGATGATACCTATCATATCCTATGATGATCAGAATGATCACCCTGATTTTATGGGCACCAAACCAATCCTCATTTTCTGAAAAAAATCCCAGTGGCGGACATCCCTGTGCCCGGTCCATCCGAGGCGAGCACCAAGGTGTACCAGGCCAAAGCAGACGGCCGTGCGGCGCTGCAGCGGCTGACAGCCACAGTGGGGCCCGGAGGGCTGCTGGTGCTGAGCCCCGATCCACTGGTGCCCTTTGCGCAGTCGCTACCTGGTGAGGGATGTCATTTTTTTTCGCCACGTGTTGGACATTTGATGAGGTAACTAGGTAAAGTCAAGTCAGTGGAGTTGGTTCGAAGTCAATTAGCATCTTTTAGTTTTCTGTTGTTTTTTTGGTTTCCTGTCTTTTCATGGATTTATCCAGACATCTTTATGGGGAAAGTGGATTTCCCATTTGGGACGGTTTAAGGTCCGAACAAGATCCGAAAAGGACTAATACATAGATTGTGGGTAATGGCACCACATTTTGAGCCATATCCATTTCAGTGATGCCGGTCTCCATTTTGATATTACTTGGGTAGACATCCCATATAAAGCTAGGTTGTAGCTGCAATGTAGTGCCCGGTTCAAGTTGGTTTAGTTTCACCCAGTTGACGATATAAACCCAGCAGTTCACCTATTTTCAACCGGCTTAGACAACAAGCTGGGGCATGGCTTTTTCAAATCAATTCCATCAAATATCCAGGATGCCTTGACTTGTTATAGCTTTGTCATTGGTGAAAGCTCCACCAGGCCGCCATGGGCCGCCCAGGAGCTACTCCCAACATCTCCGTTTCGTGCTAGCCGCGGATGCCTCGGCGGTGGTGGTCGACTGGCTGGGCGCCGGGCGGGTGGCCAAAGGTGAACGCTGGGCCTTCAAGGAGTACCGCTCGCGCATGGAATTCTGCTGGGAGGAGACCTGACGAGATAGGATTTTTCCATGGAGATTTTCATGGGATTTGGGTCTCAAAATGAGGAACGAATGATTTTGGGCACCATCCCCCTTTTTGATTTTTTCGAGGAGTTTCAGGAACAAACGTGTAGGGTTCAAGATGATGTAGGCCTTTTGCTGAAGAGTTTTAAGCGGCACAAATGAAAGGAAAAACCAGAGATTAGCCCATATTGAGATATGTCCCGACAGAAATGATGCACTTAATCAAAATAAACGGGGACCCGACAAACAACACATTATGACAAAGACGTCTGGAGAATTTCGAGTGACCTGGCCGGCCAAGCCCCAGTTTTTTTGTCAAATGTTTTGGGAAACCGTCGCAGATACATCCCAGGATGTTGAACATACGAGGACTGGAAGTAGTGATCATAACATTGTATAGTTGGACAATCATCCAAAGCGGCAATCGACCTGTCAGCTATGGCTGTATCACTTTGGAACTTTCAAATCCCATATGTGTTAGCTGAGTTCCTTGTGCCCCAAAGTTAATGCAAAGAATAATTGACCATGGTAGCTAAAGGGCATGTTTCTTTTCCCCACATTTTTGTAGCTTGTAGTTGATCATCCCGATTTGCTACTGACAACTAACCATGGTTTGAACGTTTATAGAACCCAGTTGGAAGTGGTTTGCGCTTGTTGGACTTGCAAACACGGACTGTCAAAAAATTGCTAGGCAGATGACAATCCAAGCAGCCAAACTCCCTTGGATTCCATGCTGAAGTCGAAGAAACATGTAGATCTTCTCAGCCGTTTCCAACATTACATCCCTTCATGTACCCATCATATCCTGGAAATCGCCGGTTCTATCCGACATTGTGGTTGGTTGTGTCCCCCGATATCACCTTCCACAGGAAGATCACCTGGTTGAGTCTCTCGCCCTTCGCAGCTGCGACTTCCCCCACTCCGCGCCGCCCTTCGCTGCCAGCGTCACCGTCTTCGCGGTCGGTCCCTTGGCGCAGCCGGTGGCACGGCGCCTACGTGCCATGGCCGTGACGCTGGCGGCGCGGCGTGGGGCGCGGGTGGGCGAGGACTTCGAGGCCCAGGGGCCAAGCGTCACGGGGCAGGCGGTGATGGGGGGGACGGAGGACAGGTGCACAGTGGGTAGATTGATGGCGGAGAAATCTGAGGATGTTTATCGCATTTTGCACCATTGCCTGCTTCCTTTGGAAGAGCACTTGGGGGTGGAACCCTATGCTGATAGGGTGCATGGCATCGCTCCATCTGAGATGGTGGAGACGGAGATACCAACAGAAGCGGTACCGGTGACAGGAAAAAGTGCAGGAAATCGGGTAGATTTGGAGTTGGATGTGAGAAAAGCTCTGGTGTTGAGTCAACTCACAGATGCCACTCTGCCAGTGGGTGGATTTGCCCACTCCAACGGGATTGAAGCTGCAAGTCAGCTGGGTCTGAAGCTGGAAAAACTGGACTCACTGAGGACTTTGGTGTTTCTGGGCTCCAGGTCCATGCTGCGTCTGCAAGGTCGATTCGTGCAGCTGGCCCACAAGTTGGGTGACCAGGAGATGTGGTGCTGGACTTGGGGTATGGGCCAAACTTAGGATTGATGAAATTCCTCAATAATTCTCAACTTGATTTCGATCCGCAAGCCTTCCCCCAAATTTTTGGGTGTCCGCTTTTTTATATTATTTCAGGCCTTGCAAAGCCTTTTTTTCGGCAGCCCCCTTGAGGAGTCCCTGGAGGCCTGGCACCAGCTGGACCAAGACCTCCAGGCGCACCTGGCCAGCAACGGTGTGGCCTGCCGGGCTTCGGCCCTGCAGGGTGCAGGACTGCTACGGGTGGGACGCCAGTGGCAGACCTGCGGGCGGTGGCCGAAGAAGGGGCACCATGCCACGGCCTTTGGGCTTCTGGCCGCCAGGTGGGACGTGGAGGGGATGCGAAACCTGATGAAGTTTGGGAAATCGGGGATTCAGAGAAGGCTGAAAGCAGAAGGAAAACCAATGTATGTGACTCAAGAAGCTGTATCTGGCGATATTTCTTATATCAGAAATGAAAATCCCTGTAGTATTCCTTGTGTCAGGACTGTAGCCCGACTTCAAGGGTTCTCTTCAAGAGTTCTCTTCAAGAGTTCTCTTCAAGAGTTCTCTTCTTTTTTGAATAGCTTTTCCCAAGATACAAAGGACTGAATGCTTGGTGGCCAAACCCACTAGCTTCTCCTTACAGATCTGTTGAGACAACTGATTTTCTGTTTACAGTAAAAACTATGATTCTTTGACAACTTACTGTATCCTTCAAATGAACCCAATGAATCCAGCACAGGCTCTCATTGGGAGAACTGGCGACCTTGCAAGCCTTCGCCTACTGCACGGTGCGTGATAGCATGAGCGCCGCGGTACGCTTGAATTTGTTGGGGCCCTTGATGGCAGTTGAAGTGCCACTTGGTGATGGAAGCATCCAACTCTGGGGGTTCCGACATGTGACCAGCAAGTATTACTTTATATAGAGGTTTGAAATATCCTAAGTGATGCAGGATGTCCGGGTCATTGAGACTTTGTGAGTTTCCCAGCTGCTTTTTTTCTGACCGACCTCAACTGATTCCGGAGGCCACATGACATCAGCCTCTTAAACCAGGTTTCAACCATAGCCCGTTGCGGCCCGTTGCCAAGGCAAGGCGCCATTTTGCAGGACCTGTCCGAGGAGCTGCTGGAGCTCCGCGACTCCAGCGCAGAGGCCCTGGCCCTGGCAGGGGGCTGCTGCCCGTTGCTGGACTGCGTGCACTCCGGGCATGACCTGCTGGAAGCGCGGCTGTTCCTGACCTGAGACATCTGGAGCCAGGTTTGGTTTGGAGGTGAAGATGGAGGAATGATTATGATTTATGATGATCCAAGTGGAAAAATGATGCTGTGGATGGATTTATTTGGATCATCTTCCCTGCTTTAGAAGGATTATCTTCCCAGCTTCAGAGGTGACAAACGTTTCAGCCTCCAAAGATGAAGCAATTTCGAAGGATGGAAATCCAATCCTTCTCTCCATTTTACCGAAGAAAAAGCGAAGACATTTCTTTGGGTCAGCGACCGTTACAAAGTCTCAGAAACCACAACGGCAAGCATTTGTTGCTGATTTGAGCACAAACATTAGTTTCCCTGATGTGAAATTGGTGTACTAGAAAGCAGACCCCAAAGTGGTCTCCAAGGGAACAGAACAAAGCCCCTGAAGACCGAAAAGTCGTAGTCATCTCAAGTCGTAGTCATCTCAAGTCACAATATCAATGTTCAACTGAGGAGTTGCAAGTTTGATCTTGTTAGTTGACGGTGCAAATTTGAGTTCCACCCACTGAAGATGGAAACCTTCGCCTCTGTCAAGCTGTAGAACAGATTCGTAGTGCAATTTGAAGCTGCTCAATTTCGATCCTCTGCTTTCTGGCCAGTATTGCTCAGAGATTTTATGGAGTTTCCTCAGTGGAGCCCCATGTCCGATCATGGACCATCATCATCCATTTATGGTGTTTTGCTGTCCAAGGAAGCTGCAGAAAAGTAGCCATTTGACACTTCTATTCTTTCTTATGAATCAGCAGCAATGCAGGGGAGCATCTTTTGACTAGAGGGAGATCAAGTTGTTTTCCATATTTTTTTCCGACGTTCGGCCAAAATTTGGGGTACCAATGGACCCACAAAAGCTTTGGGGGGTTGGATAATTTTGACTCCACCAGTCAGGATGATCTCACAGCATCAAGTCGTCTGTGTGTTGAGGAGTCTCCCTTTCCCAATGGGGAGCAGCGCCTGCCGTTTGCCCAAGAATTTGGGGTGCTGCTGTGATGAGGTTTGTTTACCAGGCGCTCACCATGAATCTCCATTGATGTTGATAATGTTGATAGGACCCCCCCGGTAAGACAGCTTGCACAACAGCTGCAGTGACTGAGGTCCGTGTTCGGGAAGAACGTGGACAAGGCACAGGCCTATTCGGCATGGAGATGTTGATTCTTCGCATCGGTACAAGGTGGTGCCCCCCAAGTTATAAGTTGGTTTATAACCCCATTAACTATAGATATATCTACCATAAACCATAGTTATTGGAGTTATAAACCAACTTAGCTATCTTGGGGGCCCCACCTTGTAAGGATCAGGCTGTTGGATGCTTTTGGGCTTTTGGAAATGGCATCCGTGGGTTCTATATCCCAGTGATCCCGAGCCACCATGACGACTTTAAGGGGCCGCCAGGCCTCACCCATGCGTGCGGTGCAAAGCAATGGATTGGCTCGTGATCCTAGTGGAAGTGGTGTGGTGCAGAAGGGGTTAGTAATGGTTACAACATGTTACAACCATGGTAACCTTCACAAGTGGGGATATATCCCCTATAACACCATAGTTATATCTCTATGTACAAGTGGAACTGCATCCCCCAGCGGTCTGGCAGGTGGCTTTTGGCTGTGTTGGGCTTGTTAAAAAACTATATAGGGTTGCTCCAACCTGTGAGAGGTGGGGACAAACTGGGCCAGACGTGCAAAAAAACTGACGTCTTTTGACTAATGTTCAATGAAATCTAGCCGTCCATTAGTCAACCAGTGCGGAAAAGGACATCTTAATGAATCCCTTGTGTAGATCAGCTGGCAAGAGCAGAATGCCCCACGCCTCTTTCAATGAGTTGACGAAGCTTCAGCTACCAAAACAACAAGAATCTGCTACCGCTTTCCACTTCAGACTCTGAGATTCAGGAATCTCCTCAAATCTTGGGATAATTGCCCAGGCCACAAACAGGTAAGTCGTCGGCAGCAATGGTGGTGAATCATATACAGCATTAGACAGCTACTGTAGAGATATTACCAGAAACACAGTGGCGAAAAACAACCTGGCGATGCAGTCCCTCAAAAATGGCAGGTTTATACCATTATCCACTTGCGACATGCATTCTTGACCATAGATGTTCGTGAATATAGAGGGATAGCACAAAGTTTTGACTTTTGAACATGCCATAACGTGCCATCAGGGGCTTCCTGTACTTTTCCTTGGAAGCCACCACCTCATTTTACCTATTTTGGGGGCTTTACACACCTTGAAAGGATTGATTATCATAAAACAAAGAGAGATAAACATAACAGCAACAAAACTGATCATGATCATCAACATCACCATCACCATCACCATCAGCATCAGCATCATCATCATCATCATCAACATCATCATCATCATCATCATCAACATCGATGTCCCGTTCATCTATTATATTACCTTTATATACCATTATCATTCATTTTTTAATACGTGCACCATTTACATTCTAAATGACAACACTAATATCCGGGATTTCACCCCCCAAAGATGACCCCGGTGAACCCCCAGAAAGCGAGCGGCTTAGGCCTCTGAAGTGGTGAAGGGTGGAGCATAGTCCAGCGAGTCCAGCTGATCCAGCTGATCGGATCGCGGTGATCGCACCGCGCTGTAAGGTAGTCGTTTTTTGTTGCACCAGAGGGATGTGGCTCAAAAATGTTTTTCCTGAACCATTGGGTAGTTGATGGATGTTGATGGTAGTTGATGGTAGTTGATGGTAGTTGATATGAAGATGTTTTTGGCAACATTGGATGGCTCAAGGATGTCTAAGTGAACACGGACAACATGTTCAACATGTTGCACACGCCCCTCATCGGTTGAGCCAAAACCCAAAGTGATGGGCTGCGAATGACGCCTGGCCACAAAATTCGCTGGCGCCTTGATCAACTGATGAACCTTGAGATGAGGAAGGTTTACCGGATTGTTCGGGCCAATTCGATGCAACTACCAGAGACCCAGCGGAAAAGTGCGGGTTGTGGTGGCTTATAATGTGGCAAACCCGGTCGTAAACTAGCACAATTTTACCAGAAATAGGTAGTAGAACCCATCCCGATTTTGGATGATTTTGGAACTTTAGTATTGGATTTACCACTTTACTTTCTATTTGCCAGGTGCCGGGAGCTGAGAAAAAAACCTAAGTGGTTGTTGAAGAGAATCCCCTGGGTTCAGTTACAAAAAAACGTTTCAAGTTCTCACCATTGAGGCCCTTGGGGGTCCTGCCTGGGTTATATATGTTGACGTCTCACAGTTCCCTCCCTTTCATTATCCTCGTCCAAATACCCCTGGGGCCCCCCGACATGTAGTCAGGTAAAGGTTTCTAGGTACTTGAGAAATGAATTCATGGAAAGCTGTCTGCGAATGGAGATGGATATGGTTTTTGGAATTGATTCTGAATTGACTGTTGACTCGGTTTGATTTGAATTTGAATTGACGTTTTTTTTTAAATGTCAACTTGACTTTCAAATAAGTTTGAATTATATATCATATAAATTGACTTCCAGTATACAGTTGGAATTTCACTTTAGTTTCAATTAGAACTGACTCCAAACACTGTGACTTGACATTGATGTGGATCTAAACTATATTGCTCGAGTTTGAATTAGAACTGACTTTCCTTCAATTTTTTCGGATGTTCCCCAAAAAATTGGAACTTTATTTGCGGGGGTTCAAACAATGCTTTTTATATAAGTGTTGTTTTGAGGCATTTTTGATGCACCTGTTGAGGCGCCAGGTGTGAGTGAATGGTGTGTATGACCCCTAGCGGATGAGTATTATTACGCATAGCGCGGAATATGACTTTCGCAGCGGAAACCAAGTTTGAGGGAAATCCTTGAATGACAATGACACAAGAAACCGAATTCAAGTGAACCCCCATATTTTTTGTCTCAGTCAACGGCCTGTGTTGTCACATCTTGCGTTTTCTCTGCAGCTTTGGGCGAAAACTTCAAGATGCAGGGGACACTTCACATGGAAAACCACTGCTCCCACTTTGGACGCCCCACGATTTGCAAAGATTCAGCGATTGAAATGGAACAACGATGAACAACGTAACCAATATGTCGCAGCATGAGTTTTAAGAGATCCGAAGAGATTGGTTTCGCATTCTGTCAACTACAAGCTGCCGCCTCGCGAATGCCCGGGGCCTTCCAGTGTGGGTCATCTCCATGGCTATGGGTCACATTCTGGGAATTGAAGGGTATCTACATGAGCAACAGACCATTTCATGGCTATGTAATTGGCTCTGAAGCCCTAAACAAGACGCAACCGCCAATTCTAACATATTCTAACCAGCAGTACTGCTCTTGAATTTGTTGATTTCGTTTCTGCCGAAACTAAGGCCATTGGCATGATGAGCAAGAGGTCGAAAGCTGCAGCTTCAGGCTTGGTCGAAGTCCACTCGCATCGATCCATGGGAGACGCCAAAATGAATAGATCCAAACACGCTTCTCAAGGGTTTTTTGGGAAAAAACATGTCGAATTCGTGGCTTCATTCATGTGTCAATGTGTTGATATAGTCATATCATAATATTATATTATTATTATTATTATAATATAATATCAATACTGTATACTGTCGGGGTACGCCCCTGCGCCACCGCAAAACTGCCTGTTTCGGGGCCCTGGTTTTGGAACCTCCTTTGGATCAAATACGGCGCCGTTGGCAGAGTTCGCTGCAAGCATCATGTTATTGGAAGATGCAAAATGTGAAATTGCCGCTTTATCAAACACCTGCGGGCTGCATATGATCCTAAGCCAGGATGAAGAATCATCAGGCAGTTTTTCCTCTTTCCATGCAAAGCTCATCTCAGAGACGCCACACTTCCGCCAATACCAATTTCAGATGCCACAAACAAACCTAAAACAAGCCCTTATACCCGCTTGTCTTGGTCATGACGATCTTTTCTTTGCTGTCGTGATGTTGATAGAAGATGTCCCATGAAAGCTGATTCGAGCTTCCAAAGCCTGCAATCGAGGCGCTTTGAGGCACTTCGAGGC